GGGACAGTCCGTGCAGGGCTCCACAGACGGGCTCGGAAACGCACACCCCACTCTCTAAAGAGGCGCTCTGCAGCGGGAAGGCCCGTGAGGGCCCCTCAGCCCACTTGCCTCTGAACGCCTCCGTGTTCCCGGATTAAAGCAGCGCCTGCCAGCAGCGGATTTCAGGCTGCCCCTCAACTCCCTCACCTTCCGAATGGGACCTCTGCTGTGCACCCCCGCCGGAGGGACGGGGGCCCCGGGGCATCTCTACAGACGGGCTCGGAAACGCGCACCCCACTCTCTAAAGAGGCGCTCTGCAGCGGGAAGGCCCGTGAGGGCCCCTCAGCCCACTTGCCTCTGAACGTCTCCGTGTTCCCGGATTAAAGCAGCGCCTGCCAGCAGGGGATTTCAGGCTGCCGCTCAACTCCCTCACCTTCCGAATGGGAACTCTGCTGTGCACCCCCGCCGGAGGGACGGGGGCCCCGGGGCATCTCCCTGCCCCGTGCGCCGCAGTGATGCCTGGGCGGGTGTGTCCATTCACCAGAGGGCCACCTTGTCCCGACCCCACCAGACCCCGGGCAGCAGACAGGCTCCTGGGGCGTCAGGTCTCCCGGGAGCCCTGGGGTGGGGTCCTGGGAGCCCCAAAACCCATCCAGGAACGCAAGTNGGGGGGGGGGGGGGTCCCGCGATGAGGAGCATCGAGCAGTCTCTGTGAACAGGGGCCCCCTCCCAGGCGGAGGAGGCCCATCCATGGGCAGGGGGTCACGAGTCCTCCATGCCCTGCTGAGCCCACGGCCACAAGCCACCGGTCCACCCAAAGCTCAGAGACTCGGAGGCAGGGGTGGGCCTTGCACACCCTGTGGGGGCTGATGGAGAGAGATCACACAGAACAGGACCAGGGGCCCGGGCCCCACCCTGCCCGGATCCAAGTTTTATTTCTGTTGCAACCATGCTGTCTGCTTTGCTCAGCCTGGCCCAGCCCAGATGGGACCCTCTGAACCGCTCACCCTGCAACCTCACGTTATGAAACAGCCCCTGAAACCAGGTGACCGGACAGCAGCCCAACCCAGGTTGTGGAGTTGACCTGCCGTGTGATCGCTCAGAACACAAGGGGCTCGTTTCAAGGTGGACACAAGCACTTCATGCTCCAGGGACACGGTGTCTTCCGAGGGGTCCTTTTCGGACAGGCTCCTTGCCAGGTGAGCCCCCGGGGCGGGCTGCTGCTGAGCGCATTCCTGGAAGCAGGGGCCCAAAGCCTGGAAGGCCTGGAGGCGCCTAGGACTTTGGTGGGGCGAGGCACGCCCAGCTCGGGACAGGCTGCTCATCTTGGAGGAGGTCGGGCAGGTCAGGGGGCAACGCCCAGGCCCAGCCCGGCCTGCGCTCCTGGGGAAGCGGCGGGGTTGGCCGGGCGGGGGCCTGGGGCGCCCTGCAGCCGGTACAGAGCCTCGAGCTGCCGGCGCTTCTCCTTGGCCCGGGTGACTGCCGTCTGGAAGAGCTGGCAGAAGAGCTGCACGGCCGGGGGGGAGTCGTCGTTGCCCGGGACGGGGTAGGTGATGAGGCAGGGGTTGCAGTTGGTGTCCACGATGCCCACGGTGGGGATGTTCATCTTGGCCGCGTCCCTCACGGCCACGTGGGGCTCAAAGACGTTGTTGAGCGTGTGCAGGAAGATGATGAGGTCCGGCAAGCGGACCTGGGGGCCCAGCAGGAGGGGCGCGTTGGTCAGCAGGCCACCCTTGAAGTAGCGCGTGTGGGCGTACTCGCCACAGCTCCGGGCCGTGTTCTCGATCAGGTGTGAGAACTGCCGGGCGCGGCTCACAAACAGGATGATGCCCCCACGGTAGGCCACGTGGGCCGTGAAGTTTAGGGCCAGCTGCAGGTGTGTGGCCGTCTGCTCCAGGTCAATGATGTCCTGGCCCAGGCGGCTCCCGAAGATGTACGGCTCCATGAACCTGCCGGACACACGGCCAGCGTGAGCTGCCCGCGGCCACCTCTCCCCGACCTCGCTCGTCCTGCTGCCCTCCACCCTCCCGGGGCCAGTACCGTCTGCGGCCTTCCCTAGGACGACACGGTGAGGGCCCCGCCCCAGGAGTGACCAAGAGGGTGGGCTGGGCTGCAGGCCGTGTCCACGTCTCGGGCAAGAGGACTCTACCCTCTGAACCTGCACCTCATCACGTGGTGACCCTAACAGAAGGGACCCCACACGGACATCTGGACACTCACACGTGACGTCCAGTGTCCTGCCCAGGGCTGCCTATCTGGCGGCGACCTTCATCATTATGGCTTTACCACGGAGACCACCCAGGGCCGGGGGTGCCGGCTGGCGCAGGAGCCAGTCAGGCCTCAGAGGGGAACCCTGCGGGCCAGACCGGACGGCCTGGGCAGAGGGGCCGGGTGCAAGACTGTCCCCTCGTGTTCCGTCTTCTCCCACCCCGTTCACGTTCCTGCTCACTGCTGCCTGGATTCTGTCCTCCCCACAGACGCTGCCCAAGGCCCCACAGGCCCAGCCGCCCTCAGCGTGGGAGACTTCCGGGAGGAACCACCAGCAGCGCACCCTCTCACTTCCCGGCCCCTCCTCCTCCCCCAGACTCTGGGATGCTGGTCACCTGGGCTCTTGCCCAGGGCCTCCCTTGCTCCTCTGCCCCACACATCCTCTGAAGGCCCTGATGTGGTGGCCCCGGCCCAGCCTGCTTCTTCCGAGCATGCCTGTGTGATATCTCACTGTGGGGGCCAAAGCGTCACCCCGTTCGGGACCTAAGTTTCTAACGTGAAGAACGCAGACACCTGCTCTGCTCGGCTCACCCCTATCACCCTAGGCTCAGCTACTGCTGCAGCTCTGCCCAAGGACCTGGCCACCCCCTTCCCTGTAGCCACCTTCCTCCCTCATCCCCCCTGTCCCCCCAGGCCACTCTCAGCCTGGCCCTCACAACGGCCACCTGAAAGGACGGCCAGTCCCCACTCCTCTGCCTGCCCTTGGCACGTCCCTCGAAGAGGGTGGCCTTGCCAGGCCCCATCCATTGACGGCTTACAGGACCAGCCAGCCTGCCCCTGCCAAGGACCATGAGCCCCACGGGGGCTTGTTGGGGAGCAGTAAGTTGATTCTGAGAATAAGCAGCCGTCCCTGCCGGGGGCTCCACAATTCCATACGAAGGAAAAGGGGGGTACACTCTCTGAGAACAAGCTAAAAAGAGGGGCCTGGGCCTCAAGGCAGGGGCCCCAAGAGCCCTGGACAAGCCACACCACCAGGGGCCACGCTCACCTGTGCCGACAGCCGGCTTTGTGGCCCAGGTGCACCCGTGCGTTAAAGAGACTTCTCACGGAAAACAGCTCCTTGACGTTAAAGAAGTCGGAGTGCTTGAGGGGCTCGCTCAGGATCCGGGCGCTGAGATCTGGGCGGGGAGGTGGAGAGCACGCAGGCCCTGGGTCCCGGCACCCCAGAGCCTGTGGCCTGCGGAGGGCGGCGGCAGATGCTGGGGGCCCCCGGGGCCTTCTGCGGAGGCTCGGGGGAGGGAGACCGGATCTGACCATGGCTCCGCTCCCGGGTAAACCCGGCCACGTCCTCACCCGGCCAAGAGAAATCCGGCTGATGTCTGTGTCTGCGGCTCCCGTGGTCCCGACGGCCGCCCGCAGAAACTCCCTCAAGGCAGCAGTTCGGGGCCCGCCGTCCTCGGCCCGCTCGGTGGCGGGGCAGGAACTCCAGAGGCCTTAGCAGCGCGTGCGGCGCGTGGGGCTCCCCCTCCCGGGGCCCGCACCCCTTCCCGGGGCCCGCAGTCCCCGGGGCCGTATGAAGACCCAAGGCGCCCGACCCCCCGGGCCGAGGGCCCCCTTACCGCTGTCGCGCTCTGGCTCGGGGGCAGCGGCGGCCGCGGCGCTCCCCAGCGTCCTGCCTCTCGGCGCGGCCCGGCCTCGGGGCGCAGCCCGGACACCTACGCGGACAGCGGATTCAGGGCGCGCTCCCCGTCCTGCCCGCCCCCCGGCCCCGGAGAGGTCCCCGCCGCGCCCGCCACCCCGGGCCCCTCACCCGCGCCGAGCAGCCGGGGCAGCACCGCGCCAGACGCCATGGCGCGGATCCGGGCGGACGGACTAGGGGACGGAGGGACGCACGCACGCACGCACGACGGGTCCCGGCGGCGCGGCCGCACGAGCGGCTCCTCCTCCCGCCGGGGCCCGCGCCGCTCTCGCCGCAGCGCCGCCCGCAGGCCCGGAGGTGCCACTGCGCCGCCACCGCCGCCTCGTCCAGAAGCCCGGCGCGCCCCCGCCGGCCTCCCAGAGTCCGAGCGCGCGGTCCTCTGGGAGCCGCACCCCAGGCCCGCCTGAGCGGAACCGCAGGGAGGGCGTGGCGGTCAGGGCCCGTGGTCCGGTCGGGCGCGGGGCCTAGGGGCCTGTCTCCCCGCCCCGTCCCCTGAGTCCCGGCGTCCTCGCCCCCTCCCTGCACGGGACCGGGCGGCCGAGGAGCCCCCACTGTCCAGCTGTCCGTGGGGACCTGCCGGGCAGCGGGGCCGCGCTCCCGTCCGGCCAGTTCTTACAGCAGTATGTGGCTTAAAAGGGCTCCATCAGGTTAGTCCAGTGTGCTGTCCAGCCTCAGACCCAGGGTACCGGCAGGTCTGCAGGCGGAGTGGGGACGTCAGGGCGCAGCTCTGCCCGCGCGGTGGGCGCCGGGTCCCCGCAGCAGGGCGGCCTCGGAGCACCGAGCCCCCCTGATGAACCCGGGCCGGGGTCTCCGGTGCCCCGAGACTCGTGCCGCGTTTGGGGAAACGTGGCGTGCGTTCGAGCCGGTGGCTCCAGAGCACAGGGGTCCCACACTGCGGCCCCAGCAAGTGATTCCTTATTCTCGCAGCCAGTCCAGGGCCTCGGAGCTCGCCAAGAAAGCTTCTAGAAGTCGGACTTCTGCCCAACCCGCCGAAGGGGGTGTGGGGAGGCTCCCGCCCGGGGGTCGCGGCGCCTTTAAGGACCCCGCCCGCGCATCGGGTAGCTTGGTCGTTGCTTAGTAACAGGACGCCGCTCCGCCGCCCGCTCCTTCTGAGCCCCCAGAGCGCGGTGCGACCGAGGCGGGATGTCGGAGGAGGACCCCCAAGCGTGCGCGGAGCCAGAGGAGCCCAAGGCCGGGCCCCTGCCGGAGAGAACCAGCGACTGCTACCGCGTGAGCGAGGACCTGCCGGCCAGGTTCAACAACCCGGCCTGGTTTCGGGGCTACAGGTGAGCACCCGGGAGTCCGCTCAGGGTCCGCCTTGCGTGCAAGCAGGAAAGACCAGTGCTCCTGTTCCGGCGGGCAGCCAGGTGTCCAGCTGGGCCTGCGCTCGGCTCAGCCCACAGGCCTCAGCCTGACCCTGAGTCAAAAGCTGGGTCACGGGCGCCGGGAGGTGCGGGTGGAGGCGGCGGGCCTCCCGCTCGGGCGGTGGGCGGGGCGTGTCCGGGGGAAGTCGGCGCGCGGGCCGATCGCAGCCACACCCTAGGGCGAGGCCAGCCTGCTGTCCTGTCCCGGAGGAGAGGGCCGGTCTGCTGGAGATGCGCGGGCGACGGGTCCATCACCCGACTGCCGAAGGGCGCGCGCCCTGCGGGCCCTAAGACGCAGGCTGCGCGCTTTCCTGACCGCCACTTAGTCCGCCTACAAGCCCCCGGGTCGGCTCTGTGAGCGGGGAAACGAAGCTGGGAGCTAGAAAGATATGCTCTTGCCCATAGTTACTACGAGGCAGAGCTGGGGTGTCGGAGCCCACAGCCCCGCGGTTACACTGCTGTACCACTAGCTGATATCAGGGCTGGAGACGGCAGGAACATTTTCTCCTGGAGGCTCAGAAGTGGAGGGGCGGCACCCCACCCCCCGCCCCCCCAAGTCTGGAGGCTGAGTCACAGATCCCAACTTACACACCCACCCGGGAAATGACAGCATGGGCCCAGGTCTTGCTGGGGCTGAGGGCCAGCACTTTCCACCTGGGAGTTCTTTAGGCTTTGGCAGAGGTCAGCAGAGGGGTCAAGGGAGGCTGAATGAACCTGCCAGGAAGGCCAGCCCTGCACCCCACGGGAGCCCAGGTTCACGGTTGCATTGCGCACCTACAAAGCTCTGTCAACCGAATACGGTAAAGCTGTGGCTTGGGCAAATTTAGAGCAAATGAGTGGAAAATAAAGTGTTCTCCTCATCTGCCAGGACCAAGGAGCCCCTCTCAGTGTACAGGACCAGTAACCAAGCTTATGGGAGCAGAGCCCCCACCGTGCACGAGATGCCGGTAAGGAGGCGGCGAGGAAGGGCACTGGGGGTGAGTGTGTGTGCGCGTGCATGGGTGTGTGTGAGTGTCAGTGTGAGAGAGTGTGTGTGTGTGTGTGTGCGCGTGCATGGGTGTGTGTGTGTGAGTGAGAGTGTGTGCGCATGCATAGGTGTGTGTGAGTGTGCGTGTGTGAGTGTGAGTGCGTGTGTGTGTACAGTGTGTGTGTGTGCATGGGTGTGTGTGAGTGAGTGTGTGTGTGAGTGTACAGTGTGTGTGCGTGCATGGGTGTGTGTGAGTGAGTGTGTGTGAGTGAGTGTACAGTGTGTGTGTGCGTGCATGTGTGTGTGTCAGTGTGTGAGTGTGTGTGTGTGTGTACAGTGTGTGTGTGTGAGAGTGTGTGTGCGTGTGTGCATGGGTGTGTGTACAGTGTATGAGTGTGTGTGTGAGTGTGTGTGAGTGTGTACAGTGTGTGTGTGAGTGTGCATGGGTGTGTGTGAGTGTGTGCATGGGTGTGTGAGTATCTGTGTGTGAGTGTCTGTGTGGGTGTGTATGTGTGTGTACAGTGTGTGTGTGAGTGTGAGTGTGCACGTGCATGGGTGTGTGTGCATGTGTGTGTACTGTGTGTGTGTGAGTGTGCGTGTGTGAGTGTGAGTGTGTGTGCGTGAGTGTGTGCATGTGTGTAGTGTGTGTGAGTGTGTGTGCGTGCATGGGTGTGTGTGAGTGTGTCAGCGTGTGTGTGTGTACGGTGTGTGTGTGTGCGTGCATGGGTGTGTGTACAGTGTATGAGTGTGTGCATGTGTGTGTGTGCGCGCGTGGGTGTGTGCGGTGAGTGTGTGGGTGGGCGTGCATGCGCGTGGGTGTGTGAGTATGTGTGTGAGTGTGTGTGTGTGTGGGTGTGTACGGTGTGTGTGTGTCCTGGAGTTCCAACATCACAAATGGAAAGGGGTCACCTCAAATCTTTTTGGAACAGGGACAGGGTAGAAATAAACGAATGACTGAATTTAGCAAACAGTTTCTAAAGACTGGGAAAGGGGCATGGTGGGCTTGTTTGCGTGTATGTGCTTGCTCAGCTGTGTCTAACTCTTTGGGACCCTATTGACTGTAGCCTGCCAGACTCTTCTGTCCTTGGAATTTTGCTTGCAAGAATATCCTGGAGCGGGTTGTCATTTCCTCCTCCAGGGGATCTTTCCAACCCAGAGATCCAACCCGTGTCTTTTGTGTCTCCTGCACTGGTTGGCGGCTTCTGTGCCAGCTGAGCCACCTGGGGAAGCCCGTAGCCTGGTTTACAACATCCCAAAGGACTGGCCCCATTCATTCATACGACGAGCCAGCTCTTGTAGGCAGTAGGTTTTGAGGCAAATAATTGAAGAACTGCTTTCATATTGGAGTAATACCTTATTTTATGAGATTAACCTGTGATCCTAAGAGGCAGCACTGGATGATGAAATCTCAGGTTCCAAAAGGACCGGGGTCCGTGCACCTTTGGGGAACCTGAGTCCTTTTTGATTGACTTCACATGGCAAGGGGCCTCCTCGAGCCCGCCGACGGCCCTGCTGCATCCAAGGAGAAGGGCCAGTGGGCCGGTGTGAGCCACCTCTGGGGACCCCAGACAGTGGACCACCCGCTTGGGGGGCCATGTTGGTTTTCTTCAAAATGTCCCTTATTTTTTAAAACTAAGTGTGGTTTACTTGTTTGACTTAGACTGTGCGGGACCCTTGTTGCTGCACGCGCTTTTCTCTGGTTGCGGTGAGCGGGGGCTGCTCTGGGTGGCTGTGGGGGCTTCTCACAGCGGCAGCCCCTCTCGATGCGGACCACAGGCTCCAGGCGCACGGGCTTCGGTAGCTGTGGTCCCGGGCTCTAGACACAGGCTCAGTAGTTGTGGATCGTGGGCTCAATTGCTCTGAGGCATGTGGGGTCTTTCTGGACCGGAGAGCGAACCCGTGTCTCCTGCACTGGCAGGCAGATTCTCTACCACTGAGCCCCCAGATATTCCTCATTTTAAAAGATCTGGATAATCGCTTCTTCAGTTGTTTTGCGTGAGGGAGTACAGCTCTTAACAAGAAAGAGACTGTTTACCTAGAAAGTTTCCGGAGCATAAAGGTCTTGCTCCCAAAGCCAAGGGATCAGGTATTTCCATGCAGAAGACCACCATGCTCGCGAACACAGGCCCGGATGTTTTGCTTTCGTGAAAAGGCCATTTGCTGGTCTTTTGAGGCAGAGGCAGCGGGACGTGAAGCAGGGGGTTCTCACGAGGCAAGTTTAGAAGGAGCTTTTCCTGCTGATGGGCGACCTGCTTTATCTGGAGCCTGGTTCCCGGTTTCCTGGCCTGAGTGTGGCCGCTGGACTTGTCGAGCAGGACTGTTTCCTTCCCGTGTAGGAACAGAAAATAAAAATGCGTGTTTTGCGCTTTACAACATATACTGAAGGAAACTATTCTTCCTGACGCTGTAATGGTGGATACATGTCATTCCTTATTCCTTTGTTACAACCCAGAGTGTACCGCTCGAAAGGTGGACCCTCATGTGTGGTGCTGACGCGGTTAATGAGCCCCCGCCCACACTGGCTCAGCCGTTCTACGCGCTGCGCTGATAAGACACACACACCACGCAGCTGTGTGTGCTGCAGGGAGGCGAGTGGGAGCTGCTGCTCTGGGAAATAAATGCACTGGGGACTCCCTGGAGGCCTAGTGGTTAGGACTGTGTGCGTCCACTGTAGGGGTCGAAAGTTCGATCCCTGGTTGGGGAACTGAGATCCCGCAAGCTGCACGGCAAGGCCCATAAAACCTCCAAAAACCAACAAAGCAAAACTAAACACAAAACACCAAGAAACTAACACACACACACACACACACACACACACACAAAACATCCAAAAAACCCTCCAAAATCCACTGAAGGGCATTTTTCTTTGCATCTGCTTCCTGTCGAGGAGACAGAATATCAGGTGACCTTCTTGACACAGGGGGACTCTAGAAGAGGTCGCCTGTCCCACGGTAGTCCAGGCCCCTTCCGTCAGAGACCCCCAGGTCACCTGGCGATGTTGCGTTGCTGAAATGACCGTCACCCAGGTGCACACACACACGGGCGGCCTCCTCTGTGACCTCACAGCAACCCCACCTCGCAAGGGCAGCCCCTCCCGAGCCCCTCGGCGGGTGGGATGGGGCCCCCAGAATGGTTCTAAGGTTCTGCAAAAGATTCTGATTCCCTGTCAAGGCTGAAACCTGAGTAGGTCATTTCTTTTCCACAGAATGCTCAGGCTCAGAGATGTCCAGTAACTTGCCCTAATTGGCAAAAGCAGAGCTGGGGGCGGCGTGGGGCCTGACCCCCTGCAACCAGAGCCGGGATGGCGGTGCTGCCCGGGTGTCACAGTCCACGTGACGGTGGAGGGGGCACCGTTCGCCATGACTCCCCAGCATTAGGCGTAAACTGGGGCAGCCGCGGTGGTTCAGTCGCTCAGTCGTGTCTGAGTCTCGTGACTCCATGGACTGTAGCCCGCCAGGCTCCTCTGTCCCGGGGATTCTCCTGGCAAGCATGCTGGAGTGAGTCGCCGTGCCCTCCTCCAGGGGATCTTCCGGACCCGGGGGGGCTCCTTCATCGCAGGCAGATTCTTTACCGAGTCTCCAGGGAAGTCCAAGGGCAAACGAGGCCATTCTGCAGACCCGCCCCCACCCGCCCCCCCGGCCTCTCTGTTCTCTAGTTTTAGGAACAGCATTTTCTCACAAATCCTTATTTTTCTTCCAAAAGTGCGGGATGACTGACGCTCGAGAGTTACCATGTGTCACTAATCCCAGTGTCCCCTTCTCACTTCCAGAAGGTGTTTTATCCAAATTCGTATAAGTTTTCCAGACAAGTTGCAGCGGGTGGAATGTTCCAGAACAACACGCTCAATGTCTACATGGAGAAGAGCATCGTGACGGGTCCCGACAACTACATCACCTCCTACGACCGGCTCAACTTCCACCCCAGCTACAGAGTCTGCAGGCCGTCCATCTGTGACTGAGGGGCTCCTGGCTCCTCCGGATGGTTGTCTGCCCCAGTCCTTGGTGGTTCGCGCCGTCATAAAGGGACGCACTTCACGACTTTCCCCGAAAACACCTTTCCTCTCTAGATCAGCTGGCAGACGGGGCGACGATGCTCTGCTTTCTCTGTTTTACACCTGAGACGAAAGAGCCGATGGCTTGACTTTCCATTAAAAATCTTGCCACGTCCTCGGTTCCTGAGTCATCTGCGATCCAGGCGCAGGGCATTGGGTGTCCCGAGACCCCGAGCTCGGCCTGGATGCTGGGAATGCCTGGAGCACTCCACCTGCGTCTTAATCAGGATGCATCTTTGTTTTTATCCTCATGACAGATTGTGAGGTTTTTCTGCTCTCAAGTAGCCTGCTGGGCCGCGGTGGGAGGGTCGGATCACCTGCCTGGGGTGTGGATGAGAGCCGGGTGAGGGAGCAGGGGCTCCCTGGAGCGGGGAAGGCTCCAGGCGGGACCGGGAGAGCCCAGGCCAGGCTCAGAGAGACCCTGGGCACTCCCTGGCCACTGGGCACTCCCTGGACCCTGGGCGCTCCCTGGCCATGAGCAAGGAGTGACTCTGAGCACTCCCTGGCCACGAGCAAGGCCCAGGCGGAGGCAGAAAGAAGGCTGGCTTGTTGCTGAGGGGCGGTGTGTGCGTGGGGGCCCCCTCCGGGAAGACCGTTGGTGGGGGTGATAACCACACGAGACTTCCCGGGGGGGCTCAGTGGTAAAGAATCCTGCCCGCGTGGGAGGCGTAAGGGACACGGGTGTGACCCTGGGTTGGGAAGATGCACACGAGGAGAAAAGGGATTCTTGCTTGAGAAACCCCACGGACGGGAGCCTGGCGGGCTACGGTCGTGGGGCTGCAGAGAGTCGGACACGCCTGAGCCTCTGAGCAGTAACTACGTGAAGTGGGTGTCTATCTCTGTGTACTTACTTCTCAATCAACATTCACTGTGGTTTAGATCGTCCTCAATGAGCATTTTCTGGGGCTTCCCTGGTGGTCCAGTGGTTAAGAATCCGCCTTGTGGTGCGGGGGCACTTGGGTTCTATCTGGTGTGCCCCACCCGTGAGCCCACGCACCGCACTACAGAGTCTGCGAAAAACCCCGCGCGCCGCAGCGAAAAGTCCATCACAACTACGACCCGAGGCAGCCGCATAGCTAAACACTAAAACCATCTTCTCCGACAGGATGTATGTTCCAGACATCGATCCCACTTCCCTTATGACTCCTTGTTGCGGGAAACCTGGGAGGTGTTGGGACCAGAGAGACGAAATGGTTAGAGACTCGATGCTGCTTTTTTACTGAGGTTTTTATCCAAAGAGAGTTTTTACTCACGTATGAATTTGGGAGGAAATGAAATACCATGACCAGTTATCTCTTTATTAAAATGGTGCAGTGCTTTCACTAATCCTCACAGCCGGTCACCAGTGTTTCTGAACCAGCTGCTAATGAGTTAATGGGAAGTTAGACTGTACAGTGAATAAATGTCTGGAAAGGTGGACGACAGAAATACCTTTTGTATCACGCACGTACCCATCTTCCTGAGAAATCACCCACCGCCTCCGGCTCAAGCTCCCAGTCTGCACGCCCTCCTGGGGCCTGGGCCGCTGCGAGCCGCCCATCAGCCACGGGTCTCCCACCCATCTGCGGTCTCACGGTTTTCAAAGGGCTTCGACGGCGTTGCCTCATCCGATGCTCATGCCTGCAGCAGGTCTTACTCCACCTCCCTCTGTGGATGGGGAATTAGGGTCCAGAGGGGCTGCCCTGTCGCAGGCCCTGGGCCCCGCCTTGGTGGTGGAGGGGGGAGGGTCCTGGGAGGGACAAGGCCATCGGCGTCGGACCCCACAGAACCTCCCTGATTTCCTAGTTTTGCATGAGTCATACAGGAACTCCAGTGATTACCATGAACTTTATCCTTTTAACATACTTTCAAACTGCAATCTTTATGTGCTGAGGGAAGGGAAAAGAGTTTAGATGGACAGGATGATCTCTCTCTTTTTTTTTTTTGACAGGATGATGTTACGGCACAAGCCCTGTGCCTTCTATCCGGGGTAAAAGCACACAGAACGGTTGGTTGAAAAATGGGAAGAAAATCACTCTTCTGACTGCTGTGCTGAGATCTTTCAAAATCTTAAATCCAATCAGAGCAATTACGGGAAAAGTGATCGAAACACTTAGGGTAACAAACAACAGTTTCCGCTGATTATTACATCAACTGCACGGCCATAGAAAAACCCTGCCTCCACTCACGAGATGCTGTATCTGGCCTCTCTGCTACACTCTTAAATGAAACGTTGACAGTTTCACGGCACTTTTCTCATCACTTAATTTAGCTGCTGAGTCGGCCTAAAACCAGGAACTTCTTACTCCAGAAGTGTATTTTCATGTGTTTCCCTATTTTTCTTCAGTGATATTTCATCTTTTATTTATAGTTGATTAGAGTAAATGGTTTCAAATAATAGTAAAATATGTTGATGTTGGGAAGACAAATCCCTCTGTCCAGCACACAAAACAGCAGAGATCTCAAAGATTAAAAATACAGATAATGTATTTCCCTCCCCGGCAGCCTTGCCTGGTACTGGCCTGGAGGTGGTCTGCAGATGGCGAGGGTGGCATTTGTTGCTGTTTGTCCCCGTCTACACTGGCCCTTAAGTGAATTCTGAGCAAGGGGTGGGATCAGGGTGGCAGCGCTTTCTGTATGAGCAGATAAACTGCTGGCGTTTAAGCCGAGTGTCCGGGGCGCTCCTGGCGGTCTAGTGGTTAGGACTCTGCCTGTCAATGCAGGGCACAGGGGTCGGATCACTGGTTCAGGAGGCTCCCACACGCCACGGAGCCACGGTGACTGAGCCGGCACGCCCGGAGCCCGGCTCCACGGCGGGACAGGCCACCGCAGTGAGGACCCGGAGCACCGTGACCAGGGGGACCCCGCTCGCCGCCACCAGAGGAAGCCCATGAGCAGCAAGGGAGGCCCAGCAGAGCCGAAATAGCAACAGTAATTAAAAAGAGCAACTAAACTCAGTGCTGGGTTCCCAGGCTCCGCAAACCCTGCTGACAACTCGGATTCTGAGCGGCAAACCTAGGAGTGACTTCTCTCGAGGAAGAGCCTGTCCTCTGCGCGGACACGCGGGTGGCGAGCGTCGGACGCTCACCCCCGGGGCTCTCCCCCCTCCCACTCCACTCCTGCTGTGTTAGGACTTCTGACGTGGGGGGGTTCCTGCAGAAACCCAGAGCAGCAGACCTCCGCAATCGGGTCTCCCCCCGCTTTGCGTTACGGGGAATAAACCTGTGGCCCAGCATGCAGCCTCCCCCCTTCACTGGGAAGCGAGAGGGGTCCTTGGGGTCGGACTTCTCTGTAGGCCCCCACCTTTTAAGTCTTTTCCTTCTGGCTGTGCGGGGCCTTCGTTGCCGTGCAGGCTTTGCTCCCGTTGCTGCGAGCGGCGGCTGCTCCCTCCTTGCCGTGCGTGCTTGTTGCTGAGCACCAGCTCCGGGGCCCTCGGGCTTGTCGCTGCAGTTCCGGGGCTCCACGGCTCAGGCTCAGCAGCCGTGGAGCCCGGGCTTAGTTGCTCCGTGACAGGCGGGATCCCCGCAGAGCAGGGAGTGGCCCTGCGTCCCCCACACTGGGAGGCGGATTCGTGACCACCGGGCCAGCAGGGAAGCCCTCCTCTGCAGGTCTCGGGACTTTTGGCTTGCTGTGGCCACACGCCCTCCCCAGCCTCTTCTTACGGGTGGGGGTGGGGGGGGCATCGGCCACCCGGAGCGCTGGGACCCATGGACGCAAGGTGGGGCCGGGACCAGCGGAGGAGCTGGGCTGGGGCTGCAGATGAGGCCGTCACTTCTCAGCCGAGTTCCCGCCGCCCCCACGGCAGCGCCCCACTTAAAAGAAATTGCTTAGCTCTGGCCGTGCCGGGCCTGCGTTGCCGTGTGCGGGCTTTCTCGAGTCGAGGCGCGTGGGCTCCCGTTTCTGTGGTTTCTCTTGCTGGGAAGCACAGGCTTTAGGCACACAGGGTCAGTGGTTGTGGGGCCTGAGCTCAGGCGGCCCTCGGCCTGTGGAATCTTCCAGGACCGGGGATCAGACCCCATGTCCCCTTCGCTGGCAGCTGGATGCCACGCCAGCCCCGTTTGCAGACAGGCTGCAGGACCTCCCACCTTTGCCCCAGGGAGCGACAGAGTTGATCGTGGCGGGGGGCGGGGCGGGGGGAGTGGGAAAACAAGAGCTTTTATGCAGCCTGGCTTGTGGGCAATCCAGGCATGGGCCCACGCTATCATGGTTATGACCAGTTCGTGAAAACCAGGCATGGCCTGCACTGCCCAGGAAGCACCCAGAACAGGGGTGGGGAGGCTGGGGGAGAGGAAGGAGGGGAGGGTCTGGGGGGGCGGCGATGGGTCCAGGAGCAGAGAGGTGCCCATGGCTCAATCCCTGATGGCAAGGGTGGAAGCCCGGCGGGTCCCGGACGCTGGGTCCTCACGCCAACATCCTGCAAAGGCCACGCCGCAAAGGACAGACCACATCAACTGAGGTGTGAGCAGTGCTTGATTTATTAGCATTAAAAAAACCCAGTTCATATATACAAAACAAGCTGATTCCTGTTGTCAAGTGTTAAAAGCACTCCTTTAAAATTAAATACAATTTAAAGCATGGATTAATGAGTTGTTTTCCTGGGAAGCACTTAAGTGAATGAATATCTGCCAATGGAAACATCAGATGCACACCATGCGGGCACCAGGGGGTCACGGGATCCACAGGTCTGCTCACCACAGCGTCTGACCCCGGACACGGTAGGTGCCACACACGTCCCCAGTGGGTATTCCCGCTAAGACCCAGGGCGGGGACATGACCTGTGAAAATTCACTTGCACTTAGAATAACGACCAACTTCAGCGGCACCTTAAACCTCACCCCAGGCCTACCGCAGCCACAGCAATGAGATGTGACACTCAGGGTGGCCTCACGGCTCGCTGGACAAACACGTGTGAACACCCACGCTTGGCCGCGGGCCCCACGGCAGCTGTGACGCGGAAGGCGCAGGGCCCCAGGCTCGTCCCGGCTGTGCGTGGCATCATCAGGCAGACACACTGAGAGCACGGGGCAGACGGGCACGCCTGCCCACTGCCGGAGCCCACCCCACCCCACCCCGCCCAGTCCCCGCTGGGCTCGGGCCCCGGTCCTCAGGACTCCGGGCACCAGCCGCTCCGCGGGCACGGATGAGGATGAGGACATTGGAAACACATGGGCTGGCTGAGACCATCTGGAGCTGTGATTAAACGTGAAGGACGGCAGCTTCCGCGTAGAAAGAGGTTTACTGAGCTGGTGGAGTCGTGTCAGAACTGAGAAGGACTGGACGCCGAACCACAGAGGCTCCAGGTGTGAACGGCTGGCCGGCGACCTCACCGGGGTTCTCGGCGTGCGCCCTGGGCGGCTGGTATGCCCGCCGGCCTTTGTGCTTTGAAACGCTCTTCCGCTCGAGGACCCCGTTGGGCCTATGTGGGGGAAGGCGGGGGCTCTTTCACGTGAGAAGTGCTGGCCAGCAGCGCCCTGACAGGGACTGCTGGGGTGTCTGGTGAGTCTCGGGCAGGGCTCCGGCTGCTGCCTTCCCGAGGCTGGCACTGTGGCCGCAGCAGGCCCTGCCCACCGGTGGTTAGCCCCGAGCACGGGGATGCACGGAACCGAATGTCCGCTGATCCCAGACTCGTGTGGAGACCATGGAAAACAGCTGCGAGGAACGCCTGGCAGGATCCAACAGCGGCGTTCATCAAAAATAGTTTTTACAGCACTTTAAATAATTTACAAAAAAGGCTACAAAAATCATATTTACCAGGACACATCTGTTAAATAAAAACACGGTTTCACATTAGTGTACAAATGTACAGGCTGCATAGGGGCCTCCAGGGCCCCCATTCCATCAGGAGCGTGGCCGCGGGGCACACGCGCGTGGTGCTCACAGCTGCAGTGCCGGGCCCTGGGCCGCGGGCCCGCTGCCCTCCTCCACAGACATGTCGCTGAGCTCGCTGGCATCGCTGCCCAAGGCCTCCGGCTCCTCCTCGTCTCTGTCCAGCCCTCTGCGCCCGAAGCGCAGGTCCAGGATGCCCTCTTCCGGCCCCGAGCCCCTCCTGTCGGACAGGCCGAGCCCTGCCCGGGGCTTCCTGCAAGGCCAGCGGCTGCTCTCCTTCACCAGCAGGCGCGGGCTTCCGAACACTGGGCCGCGGGCGGCCTGGGCCTCCCGGAAGGCTGAGAAGGACGGGCCCTGCAGGGGCAGACCCAGGCCGGGGCTGAAGAGGCCGGCCTGCTTGGTGCCCCAGGGCACGCACTTCCCGAAATGGAACAGCTGCGTGGAGAGCAGCGGCGAGAAGCCGTTGAAGGGCAGGCCCCTCTGGGGGTCCACGGCGAGGCTGGGTGAGCCCCTGGCCTGGCTCCCCGGCCCCTTCTCCCTCTGGCCGCCAAGGCCCCCTCTCCACGTGGCCGCGTCCCTGCCTCCCGGGCCCAGCACCCAGGTGCTCTGCGGCTGGCTCTGGGGGGCGAGGCCGGCCCGGGGCGCCCCGTCCCGCTCGGAGCCCGGGGTCCGTGCCAGCGAGCCATGGCCCTCTGCCCAGGCGCCAGCCTCCGCGTGGCTCGGGAGCTGGCCGAACGTGCCCTCCCCCGCGACCCCCTCGGGCCCCCTGGGGCCTGAGTCTCTGGGGGCACAGATGTTCCTCCTGGGGGCCGGCGCCCCTCTGGCAGGCGCAGCCCTGCTGGTGCTCCTGGGTGGCGCCAGCTCACACCAGGCCAGGGTGGCCGGGGGGCAGGGCTGCTCGGGGTGCGGGCTGCCCCCACCGCCTGGAGTGAGGGCTCTTCCCAGCCCCCGGGGTCCCTCGGACCCTGGCTGCAGGCCCCCTCTGACCCTCTGGCTCCGCGTGCACACGCCTGGCTGGGCAGCTGGGCCCAGGGGCTGTGCTTTCCGGCCCTGGAGCTCTGGCCTGGCCCCACTCACAGTTCCCAGGACGGCCAGGCCCCCTCCTGGAATTTCTGATCCGCTCACAGACTCCTTGGCCTTTTCAGCTAAAAACTTCCTGATCTCCAGCTCGATGCTGTCGTCACTGTCTACAGAGCTGCTATCATCAGACAGGGAGCTGGGGCTTTCGGCGGGACGGGGAGGCTCGCGGGCTTCTGACTCCCTGGAGAACAGACCCCCGGCCGCGGCCCTGCCCCGGGGCCAGGGGGCAGAGGGGCCTGAGGGTGTGTCCTCCAGCCCCGAGCCGTCTGCCTTCGCCCCTGCTGTTTCCCGGGAGGGGACGCGCGAGGGTCTCCCTGGGGTCTCCCTGCTGGACTTGCAGAGACAGCTTTTCAGCAGGTGGGGGCTCCGGTCTCTCCAGTCCTTCTGGAAGCCCCCCAGCTTGTCCAGGAACTGCGTCTCCGTGGTGCTGAAGCGGACCCTCTTCTTGCAGCCAGCCCGGGCGTCCCTGCACCTCTTCCGGAGCCGCCGCTTGGAGCGCAGCAGGTCCTTGATGGCCGAGTCCAGGTCCGCGTCGCTGTCCAGCGAGCTGCTTTTCTCCTCGGAGCTCGCGTCCCCGCGCCTCCCCTCGGCCGTCTGCCCAGGGCCTGGCGGTGCAGCTCCCGGCCGGTCCGGGGCGACGAGCTTGTCGCCCGGCCCGCCCGTCTTGAAGGGGGGAGGCTGGCTGCGGCTCTCGCCCTCCTTTCTGGGGGCCTCAGGGGCTCGCCCCTGGCCAGGCTGCATTCGGCCCTGGCCGCGCTCGGCGTCCTGGGCGTCCTGCGTCTCGGCCGTGTCTCTGGGCTGCCTGGGCATGCAGGGCATCCTGCCGCGCCTCCTTCTGCAGCCGGGGGACGGGTCTGGGGTGCTGGAGGCCGGGGTGCTGAGGCTGGGTGGCAGGGGCGGGCTGTCGGCGGGCCGGGCGCAGGTCTCCATGCGGGGCAGCGGGCCCCCCGACTGCGCCTTCAGGGCCAGGAATGTCCGGATCTCCCGCTCGATGCTGTCGTCGCTGTCCACTGCGCTGCTGTCACCGTCGGGGTGGGGAGGCCTGTCGGGGCCCTCGCGCAGCGGACTGGTGGGTGGGGGCCTTTCCCCACCGTCCACGGGGGCCGGCAGGATGGTCTTGGAGATGTCCAGGATGGCCTCGGCACACATCAGCTCGGCAGACGTGTCTGCCTGGTGTGGGGACCTGTCCACGCCCGGGGTCCCAGCAGCCGCGCTCCCCGGAGGCGCAGGAGCCGTGGTTTCCCTGTGGGGCCTGGGCGGATGGTTGGGGTCTGGGCCGCCCGGGCTGAGGTCCGTGGCCTTGGGGGCTGCTGGCTTCTTTTTGCCAGGGGTTTTGCTGTGGGCCTCGGGCCAGGCGCCCCTCAGGCCGTGAGCAGGGGCCGTGGGGCCCTTCTCCTCCGCGGGCGGGGACCCCTGTTGGCCCGCGGCCTCCCGCCGCCGCTCCCGCTGGTACAGCCGGATGGCCTCCTCGATGCCGTCGTCGCTGCTCGAGTCCGGTTCCTCGTGCACCAGGGCTGCGCCCCTCGGCCGCCTGCCCTTCCGTGCGGAGCCCACGGCCCTGCGGACCCCAGCTTTACCCGGCGAGGCCTCTGCAGGGGGCCCCGTGGTGGCGGCAGCAGCAGGCTCGGCGGCGACCTTGCACCTGAGGCCTCTGGGCAGGGTGCTGGCCTTCGCGGACCTGGGCAGCTTCCGGAAGATGAACTCCTTGCCGGCTCCCAGCAGGCCCTGCTGCGGTGCCTTCAGCGGCGGCTCTCTGCCAGGCCTGCAGGTCGCTCTGGCCACGCTGTCGCCGGGCTCTGCCTTTCTGCCGGCAGGAAGGTCACCTTTCTGTAGCCTTTTCTCGCTCAGGAACTGTTCGATCTCCGCCTGGATGCTCTGTTCGAAGGAGTCGTCGCTGCTCACGCTGAGCGGGGAGGCGGAGCCCCGGATATGGTCGGGGCCAGCTGCAGGGTTTGGGGGACACGGGGCGGCTGGGGCACCGCTCAGAGGTGGCTCCGGTCTGCACCGACGGGCCCCGTCCCCGGCTGCAGGCGGCGGGGCGGCCCCGCTCTTGGCCCTGAGGTACTCCTGGATGGCTTCCTCGATGTCTCGGTCCACCGAGTCGTCGCTGTCCGAACCCGGCACCAGGGGCCCGAGGCTGGAGGCCTCCTCCTCCTCCCCCTTGGGGTCAAGACCCGCGGCAAGACCACAGGCCGCAAAGGCGGGGCTGGCGGCCGGTCGGGCGCCCCGGCCCCTCTCCGCCCTCTGGCTTCTCGGCCGGGCATGCTCGCCGCTCATGCCCAGGGCTGCCCCGTCGCCCTGAAGCCTGCTGATGGCCATCTGCACCTTGGCGCTCACCGCTGCTCTCGAGACGCCCTCTCTGGGCTCCGAGAAGCATCTGGGAAACCTACAGCTCCCGGGCGGGCCGAAGGTCTCCCATGCGGACCGCAGGGCCAGCACAGGAGGCGCGTTCATGAGAAACATCCTAGCGGGCGCGCGCAGAGGCGGGGCTTCGCTTCTCTCCCGCTTCACATCCTGCAGCTGGGCACGCCGGGCGGGCGGGAGCCACAGGCCCCCGGGGCTCAGCTTCCTCCGCTGTACGGGGCCGGTGGCCGAGAAGACTCATGAGAAAATGCTTCCGAGTGCGCTGGGCCGAGCTCGTGGAAGCTGACACGGGTATCCTTCCGCCGTCATCCCTCCGTCCATCTTCTCCCGTAAAGGAGCAGAGGCGTGGTTTACCTTCTGAAGTCGTCAAGAACGGGCCACGGGGTGAAGACGCAAAGCCTCTGGGCGGGTGGAAAGGTCGACTGGGGGAGTCAGGGTCAGCGACACATCACGGGTTGGTTGACTCTTGACATGAACCAGCAGCTCCTGAAAACAGAAGTTAAGTGATGTGAGCACCTAAACGCCTTTGAAGAGTAATTTACACAAAAGCCTTTTTATTGGAAAAGGTTGAATGTGTATTTGCCAGATGATCAGGGGACCGTATGACTATTTGCATGGAATTAGCACAGACACTGCCCGAAACAGTCACGTGCCCTTTCTCAGGCTGTGTGGCTTCTCCGCTTTCTGCATCTCAGTCCAAACGTGGCTGGGCTGGCAGAACCGCTGGGCTGCCCTTGGGAACACAGTGAGGACTTGCTCCCAAAGGCCTTTACACTGGAGGTCTGGGGCCACTGCCACGGAGGGGACATAGCGCAGGTTGTACACAGTGGGTTAGAAAGACGCAAAATACACCATTAACTATCAATCCCGAACACCCCTCTCCGCCCTCTCCTGACCCCCCCAAACTGGGACGCAAAGCGACCGAGATGCAAGAGGAGAGCTTGGCTCCTGGAAGCAGGGAAGTCGAGCTCCAACCCCAAAGGGCGCTGGGCCAGGCGGACGCTGCCTGGGAGCCTGGGGGTGGGGGTGGCCGGAAGTGGCCTGGGTGTTTGCGTTGCTTCCCTGCAGATCTTTCTCCCGGAGGAGCTTCCTTTCTGACGAGCACAGAATCCTGTGTTTACACACCACAGTCCTTTCCAAGAAAGCCTGGCCTGGCCACCTAGGCACAGACGTGCCCAAACAGGTGTGACCAGCAATTAAGCAGAGGGTGTGACCAGTTCAGAAGGAAGTCCTTTGCTATGGCTATTTATGCTCAAAAAGTGAAACTGCAACATCAAAGAATTTGCTACAATTACCTGTGATTCTTTTCAAGTCCAGGTTCAGTATAACATTTGCAGACGGTTCAGGGACTGGGTCTTCATCTCCCTACGTGTACTCTTTAGCATCTTGGGCCCACTTTTTAAATAGACTTTTGACTGTCAGGATTAAAGAGAATCAGAGACTTAATTCAGAGGCTGAAACTATAGCTGGTAAATATTTGGGGGGAAAGAAAGTGCATTAATTTAAGGGCTTGAAATTCAACTTTGGAAGAACTTACCCTGAGGCCAAATACAGTTAACCACAACAATTAATAGTTCCAATTCCCCTGAGCCGTTGGTCTGATGTACCAGGACACACATGGCTGGGGATGTGAGAAGGCACTTCCAAGTCCTCAGATGGAGCCCCCACGACAGCTGGTGGTCTTTCCAACAGCACCACACTCCAAGGAGATCCCCCCCTAAGGACAGTGGGGGCCAACAATGCCGAGGGGGAGGGCACTTCCACTGGGCTTTGCCCACCTCACTGTGGTCATTATTCAAGCTGCCCTGGCAAAATAACACAGCATACAAGACATCCCCAGAGGCCTTCTCAGAGTCTAGATCAGGAATGTTAACTCGATGAACAGCAGTGCCGTCTGAAGAAGAGGCCTGGGGATGGATCCCGGTGAGCCAGGGTGCAGTGACTTCCTACTCCAGGCAACAGAGGGTGCAGGAGGGAAAAACGCTCCTCTCTACTCCTCACCTTGACTGTGGTCACTGCTTCTAAATGACTTGTCTCGAGCTCGGACTCCCAGGGAGTGGTTTTCTGAACTGTCAGATTATCTAGCCCAAGAATGAGGTTAAAAGCTCAGAGGGTGTCTCCAGCGACAGCTTGGCTTGTGGTTTTAAAACAATGGTCTACATAAGATGAATCATTCTGGAAAACTCCCCTCAACTGTACTTTGGGGGACTGCAGGCTGAAACCAGAGGGCTCCCACTTTGTCAGACTGCTAGCCTGCACCCCAAGAGCCCCGGAACCAGGTCTGGGGAGTGACTGTGGGGGCCCCAAAGCTGTGTGGTGCCAGAGTCTGAACTGTGCAGGGGGGCCCAGGGCCTCTCTGTCTAGACAGACACCTCCTGTCTCCAGGAGGGCAGAACCTCGCTAATGCTTATCCCCGGACAAGCCTGGCTCCCTGCATGGATGCTCAGCACAGCTCTGGGGTTCCCACAATGCTGTGCACCCCCGGCTAGTGCCCTAGCATAGGGAGCTGAGGGTCGGGGTACAAAGCCCAGGAGGGCCTCTCCGAATGCCGGCCTGAAGTGGGCGTGGGCTGGAATTTCAGCCTGTCTTGCCAGAAGGCGAGGCTTCACAACACAGCAAGGACGGCTCCAAGCAGATCTGCAGGGCCGCTGTCCGTGCCTGGAGGGCCGCAGGCAAGGCGCCACCCTAGGCTGGCCCTGCCCGCCCTTTGCTCCCGGCCTAGGGGCGCTCACCCCCAGCGCGGCCTCTCCCAGGAGGCATCCCTGCGCCCGAAGCAGCGACCCGGTCCTCCAGCAGGAAGGGGTTGGGCTGCGCCCCGGCTTATATTCTGGGCTTCGTGGGTTTGGGGGCGAGGGGCTGGCCGGGAAGCCGGGTGGACCCTCCCGGAAGCTGCGTGGGGCGGGACGCGGGGCGCGATCTCTGCTGGAGGGCTGAGCGCGGGCCCCCCACCCCCCGGCCGCCGGCCCTCACCTGGCCTCACCTGGGCCCCGCGCCCGGCCGGCTTCGAGGAACGCGGGCGCGCGCTGGCGGGGGCCCGGGCCAGGAGTTGCCTCTGGGGCCGCGACCCCCGGCCTCCCGGTCGAGTGACTAGCTGGCGCCNGCCCCCAACTGCTGGGCGCTGAGTCGGTGGCCGGGTCGACAGACACTGCCCTGCCTCCGCGGTCCCGGGTGGGAAGTTCAGGCCGGGAGGGTGTGGGCGCACAGATGGGCTGCTTTGGGGCTGGTGCTGTTTCTGTGGTCGTCAGTCCCGTAACCAGAAACTTCTGCCCGACCAGGGGCCACTGTGTGCCTAGCACCGTGCCCCCTCCTCCTCCGGGCTGGCGGAGGGGGTTCGTTGAGTCTGCACAGAGCTCAGTCTGGCTCCCTTGAAGCCGCCGGCCCCTCTGCGTCCCCCCACCGGCCCCCGGCGCCCCTACCAGTACCGCGAGCTCTGGGCTGTCCGTCTAGCCTTCTCTCTAGGAAAGCTGCCCAGGCCTCCAGCTGCCTTTGCCAAATGCCCCTGTGTCGGCGCCTCGGGTTTCATCTCCACCTTCGGGAGAAGGAACAGGGGCCGCGGATGGATAAGCAGCTCCCCAGGGGCACGAGTGCTGCTGCAGGGGAGCTGCTGGGCCGCGGTTCCGGGGCCAGAGCCGCAGAGGGCAGGGCGGTGCGGGGCACAGCTCCGGGGAGCCGTCTCTGAGCGCCTGAGCGAGTGCCCGGCTGGCCGTGGGGAGGCCGCGTGGAGGCTGGGGTACCCGTGGGCGTCCCCGCAGGAGGAAGTGTGTTAAGACACACCTGTCTTTGGCCGGTTTGGGGGGGGGGGGGGCCTTTTTTTTTGGGACCCCCCCCTTTTTGTGCCCCCCCAGCAGTAAAGGTAGGTTGTTTCTGGTCCTCACTGAACTTCCCTGTGGGTTTGTGTGATTTTTCTAACAGCTCAGAGATCTTCACTCAAGGCCTGGGGTGTGCCACTGCGCCTCAGGGTCCTGAGGCCGGTGGGGCGGACCCTGGCCCGTGCGAGGGGCACATCGAAAGGAAGATGAGCCCTGTGCTTCCGCCCCCGGTGCCAGCCTCCGTGGCCCCGACATAGACCTCTCTCGGGCTAAAGTGGGGTTTTGTATCTTGTCTAGAAAGTGCCCGAAGTTGGACAGGAGAAAACAAATCAGAGGCTTTATTCCTACAGGGATGAGAAGGGGGCTGTTTTTTATCTGCCTGGGGGATTTGGGGCCAAGTGTCAAGAAACCCATGAAAACACTGAATTAATCCTTCAGTAAACTGTTTAATAAAAACTGTCTTCCCATTATGAGAGTAATACTTCTTTGTTACTGAAAGTTTGGGAAAAGGTATCTAATGAGCCAGAACTAGGGACTCCACATATTTTGGCATGGTTTTTTCACAGTTTTTAACTAGTGCCGTGATGAACATCTTTGTTGATGTGTCCCTGGAAGCTGCCTCAGTTTTCCTAAGGGTAAATTCCTAGAAGAGACACTGCCGGGCCAGGACTGGGATGTATTTTGGCCCCAATGCCCTCCGGAAAGGCCCGGCTGAATACCGTCCGCCCTCCGGGGCTGGCTCGAGTCCTTCCATTCGTCTCTGGCAATCTCACAGGTAAAACAAGCCTTTCCACTTGGGCTTTAATCTTTGCCTCCTGGTGGTGTAGAGCACCTTTTTATTTTCTATTGACCGTTTGGAAAATTGCCTGCATGTGTCTGTGTGCATCTGTAAATACTTTTCTGTTGGGCGCGTGTCTTCTCATTCACAGCTTTTCTCATCGAGGATTGAACCCATCTCCATCATATACACGTTTATTTTTCGGTTTGCCATTTTTCTTTTAACTTTGGGTTTAGCTTTTGGTTTGTTTTGTTGGTGATGCTTGGGTTTTCAATTTGTGTAGCCAAACCTATCAAGTTTCTTTTATGGTTGGAGATAAGACCCAGGGCGGCTATTGCCACGCTGAAGTTTCCTAACCCGTTTGCCAATTTAATGGCTAAACTTACAAATAAGAGCTACTGAAGACCTGGAGGGGCGTGAATTACAGATTCCTGTGGACATCAGAAGCCCAAGATGTGACGGGTAATAAATTCTGGAAAGGGAAAGACTTTCTTCGCTTCTTATTTGAAGCCTTGGCCTTCAGATATCTGTGTATGCACGCAGGGTTGTGTGTACATATACACAAACACACACGCACATGCACACAGACACACGTGTGTGGACACACAGACATATATGCACGCGTTTATACTTTAACTTTTAGGAGCCTCTGTCTCCTGCATGCTGTTAGGCCATCATTGGAAAAAGGGCACCTGTTTTTATCGAAACTATCCTGTTGTAAGAGGTGCTGACCTTGGCATTTAGTTCCCCCAGTCAGGTCCTCACTGTGCGGGTTCAGGGTCTCCTGGGATCAGCCCCCAGGCCACCTTCCACCGGTTCTTGCAATAGACCCACCTGACACGGTGAAGTGGGCTCCCTTCCCCCAGGCAGGGGTCCCCATGTATCTGCTCAGCCCAGTCCGATGCTTCTAGAAGGATAGCCGGTAGCTCTCTGTCCCGCAGGTGGGTGAGTGGTGGGAGCGGGGGCCGGGGCGGTGGCTGGGCTTCTGGTCAGGCTCCAGGGCCCCTTGTGGTCACTGCTGGCCTCTGGCCCTCCCCTTGTGCTTCTGTCAAGGGGAACAGGGAATTCTTAGAGACCGTCTCTGTAATTCTCTGCATGGAGGTGACCTCCAGGGAGGCAGCTGGGGTCCTGGGGCCAGAGTCAGTGCCAGTGGCAGAAGCCAGATGCCCCCTTATTTGTCTGTTTTCCCTAAAAGAGTGAAGAGTGTCTTCATGATGAAAGAAACTCACATGAAAGGAGGCACCACGCTCTGACAGCCCCTGGGATGCAGCACCCTAGCCAGCTGGCAGGAGAATGAGGGCATGTCCCCGCCATGTCTGAAACGTGAGGCCCGCTGACCCCGCTCCGAGGACTCTGTCCTGCGGTTACGGTCACAGTCCATGTGGGCGAATCGCCACAAAGACGATGCTTCACTTAGCAGAGCAGCCCCCCAACACCCGGCTGTTGGGGGGATGGAAACACTCACTGCAGGGCGCCTGGAGCCTCTGCCGGGGAGGACGGGGTGGGGCCTGGGGAGCCCAGGCGGGCTCTCCCCGTGACCATGGGGTGGCCCGCCAGCAGAACAGACGGCAGAGTGGCATCTCACCCCTGGATGCGCCAGCCACCATTAGCAGCGGGGCCCGCTCTGCAGAGCGGCCCCACGCGGCGGCTGGCCGGGGCGCTGCGGGCTTCCTGCTGACCCCTTCATACTGTTCCAGCTTTGATCGTGAGCATTGCTTTCGTGCACACAAAGACCAACTCGTAAAGTGTGGAATGGAAATGTATGAAAGTTCGTGTGTGTAAGGGTGGCCACACACACACAACACCCAGACCAGGTCCAGGTAATAACTCTGCCCACTCAATTCAGCCTTGGAAAGTCTATTTCTGCAAAACTGGTTTTTAAAATCACTCACGTCCTGAGTTTGGGACTGACGTACACACACTACCGTGCATAAAATAGATGACCGTTGAGAACCTCCTATCAGCTCAGGCAACTCAGCATGCTCTGTAGTGACCTAGATGGGAAGCAAATCCAAACAAGAGCAGATCTCTGTACACACGGAGCTGGTTCACTTTGCTGTACGGTGGAAACGAGCGCGGTATTGTAAAGCAACTGAACTCCAATAAAAATCAATAAAGAAGTCTCTTGCCTCAGAAGCGACTTTTATTCAGTTTGTTTCTCGAGTGTCGATTTATTAGAGTTTTCCTGGTGTAATTTTCACCCAATTTATTATTTGCCATCTTAGTGACCAACCTGACTTTAAGATTGTCCGTTTATGAGGCAGCTAAACCAGGCCGAAATAAGCCCCTTGAGGGCACAGTGTTCGTCCCCAATGGAATGAAGACATGTTACCTCCAATTTATTCTCAGAAGAGCAGGGTATTTTCCAACCCCAACCCCAGGTTTGAGAGAAAATCTTTTTTCTCTCTGATTCTTTGCAGAAAATATGTTGGACCAAGGCCCTCATCTCACAACTCTGGGAAGCTTGCTCTCGTCTCTCGCTGGATCCTGGGGGCACCGGGGATGGTGCTGGGAGGTGGCCGGATGGGGACTCAGGCTGGATTAAAGTGGGGGAGACCCCTTTAAAAGCAGGAAAACGTGCTGGGCAAAGGCAGAGCAATGAGGCTGGCAGGAACTGGACACTCTGGTCCAGCTGCACTCTGGGCCGGAGGCCCCTGAGGACGGTCCACACAGCTGAGAAGGCGTCAGGCCGCAGTGTCCTTGGACACAGGCCTGGGCGAGGGGAGCTGGTGGGTACAGAGAGGCCGCTGGCGAGATGACCCCTCAGGCTGCCTGCTGATGAAGCAGTTGGGCCTCCACATGCCTTACGTGGGGGCCACTGTGCGTGGGCACCCCTGGGAGGGGGCCCTCGGCCAGGAGTGTGGCCAGTGCAGGCCCACTCCCGCTGCCTCCACCCTGAAGGGGTCTGGGCAGCAGCTCTGCGTCTGCCACAAACAACTCCTCAAATCCTCTACATCAGAAACATCGCTGTCTGTCCCTATTGCAGGCCAGGGGTCAGTTAACTTGTTACATCTTATAGGAGTTTTATCCCAGCTCCGTTCAGTGGAGGATGCTGCTCCAAGTTGGTCAAGGGATGAC